AATTGTACATCGTTCACTCGTACTTGTCTGTATATTTGTTTAGTGTCATATTGTAATCGAAGCGACAAAGATGTGCCTATCTTAATTTATAATTTTTCTAATTTTCTTTTTTTCGGTAAATATTTTATTTTTTAATTTTTTATTGTTAATCAAAAAATTGTAAAAAATTGTAAAAAATCTTTTTTTAATATTTTGTTTTATAATAAATTATAGTTCTGAAGAGGACAGCTGTGCTGTCGAAACGTAAAAAGAATTGAATTTCTTTTATTTTTATTTTCCTTGACTCGGAGTGATCGTTAATTTTCACTATTTATTAAAATACAACTGAGTGATAGAATCATCTCTACTCTTATCAATTAAAAATTATTTTGTTTCAAAGAAATATTAATTAATCTAAGCATTTCTATATTCTCATGTTTCAAAAACATTAATTTCTTGCGAGAATGTTATATTTTCTGGAATGAAATATTTTATTTATTCAATTCAATTAAGTGTAAGATCTTAAATTAAATCATTTTTTTGATTCCTTTAAAACAAGATTTTACTTAATCTAACACCCATAGTCTTGATCTAAGAAAATATGAGGATTAATACAAGTTAATAATTGTTTCAACTCAATTAAAAATTATTTTTTTCAAAGAAATATTAATTAATCTAATCATTTCTTGTACTTGAAACACTTCTATATCACCATGTTTCAAGAACATTTAATTTCTTAAAATAATATTATATTTCTCTCGAATTAGAAAATTTATTTTCTTATTTGAATTAGTCATAAAATTCTTAAATCAAATCATTCTTTTGTTCCCTTAACAAAGTTTTCACTTAATTCAACGCTCATATAATCTTGATTCAAGAAAATACGAAGGTTAACATAAGTAAATATTTGTTTCAAGTTGATTAAAAATTACATTGAATTAATCCCATATTTATTTAAAGAAAGAAATTCATTTTCTTGTGTCAAGTAATTATTACACGGAAAAAAAAAGTACGTGAATCCTTCCTTGAAAGTGCTTGACTTTTGGATAGGACACAAAATACAAGGCTGTTCCATATACTTTTTATTAGAAAATATAAGAAAGTCCTAGAATTATTCTAGTACTAGTATGGGCAACAGTGTTTTTTAAATTTTAACGAAAAGTCATTTGTTCAGTTTTATAAAGTACGTGAAAAATTAGTTGACTGCGCTTGAAAATTCTGTAAAGCATGGGCAGTGTGCGTTGCGCGTTTCTACCCAAGGTAAATGCCAGCTGATCGTCTGTTTCCACTTGTGTTAATTTGAGATGTGAATATACTATTATTTTATGAAAAACAAACAGTGTTAATATATATTTGTCTTCAAGAATTGACTTTCAAAAAAATATTTTTTATTTTGTGTTTCTCACAAAACAGAATGTTATATAAGTCTCAGTTTTCAGTTAAATAGCATGTCTCAGAAGTCGTGAAAAATTTCACTATGTGGTATATAAGAACAATTCGATACGTACTTTAAGTGTTAAGTGTGTGTTTATATTTAAGTTATACGCGAATATATGTGTGTGTTATAGGTTAGTTTATAAGTGTTGATGAACGTCGAAAAGTGATACAATAATTGTTCTTTGTTTGTGTGATTAATTATCCAAATATGTGAATGAATGAGTGAATTTCAGAAAAACTCTGTGAACAAGTGGAAATTATTTTTTTATTTTACAGTTTTTTTGAAAGTCAATGAAATTCTCAAGCAAGGTACTAGAAATTTTCATTGACTGCTTTTGAAACTCTCATGCAAAAATACTAGACTGTTTTTAGTATTTTGTGTCGTATCCAAAAGTCAAGTACCGAGTCAATGAAAAATTCACGTACTTTTTTTTTCCGTGTAGCATTGAACAGAATTCTTGAATTAACAGTTCAGTATTTGGCGGAACTCAATATGTAATTATTTCAACCAAATATTTTACTTTTCCGAAGTACCAAAAAGTATTGAATCTAGAATATTATGTTCTTAAGCGAAATAATAAAGTATTGTCTGGAGAATTCATGTTTCTTAAATCAAATCATTTTATTTATTTGCTTTGAAACTTTCTTTTACTTAGCACAATGCCAGTGTTCTTGATCCAAGAAGATATTTTTTTTCAAATGGATATGCAACTTAAATATCAGTTTTTGAAAACTGCCCACTGAGGCTAGGATGGCATGGTCGTAGCGTGACGGCTTCTGGTGCGTGCAACCTGGGTTCAATTCCTCCGACCGTGAAAAATTTTCTTTCAAGGTTTATTTGTTGTACTTGTGTTAAGTATTAATTAAATGTAAATATATATGTAAAATAACAATTATTTAATTATTTAACCCATTAACGCCCACCAGGACGCAAAATGTACCATGATTTAACGACTCTTATTTTGTATGAAATAATTAGTTTAAAATTTTAGGAAATACCATTTCCGACGTAAAATTTATCGCTATTTATAAATATGAAGCTAAAATTTGTTTATAATTATCTCAAAAAAATTTATAACAATTTTATTGCAAAAAACAATTTTTTTATTTAAAAAAAAATTTTCAATTATTATTTTGACATGGAAAACTAAAGAATATGGTCTCCAAAGCACAAAATATCGCGTCCTCGAACTCTCAGCTCTAAAAATCCATAATAACTTTCTATTAAATTTAAGATGGCGGATATGAAAATGGCCATTTTTACAAAATGCAAAAGGCCGAAAAAAATTTTCGGGTAATGTTTTTCAAAAGTTATTAGATTTGATTGAAAATTGTCACTCGGGGGTTCTTGGGGTCGCTGATTACGAATCTGATGTCACTTTTGCAAAACTAAAAATGGTGGATCCAATATGTCAAACAATTTTTTAAAAAGTAATTGTATTTGCTTCAAAATGGTCATTCGGCGGTTTTTGAGGATGTTAATTACGAATCTGACTACAGAACAATATTATGTTTATCCTCCACGTCCGTTAGCCGTCAACAAAATTTTAATGACGTTGCCCAGCTCTTACCACAAGGAGGTCGACGTGCAAAAAAGCTACTTTTTTATTTTATTTTAAAAATTTTTTTTGTTTTTTTTATTTAAAAATTTTTTTTTTGATATTTTAATATTTTTTTAAATAAATAATATAAAATTTTAATTCTGCTTACTAAATCTGAATCAACGATAATTATGACATTTTTTATACAATGGTAAAAAGAGACTAACACAACATGTGGTTTGATTGAAAACAAGTGACGCACATATATGCCACAATGAATGCACAATTTTTGTGTCCTTTTGTTGCACTATGCATGATAGTGGCTATATTTTTCGAGGCAAAATCCAAAAAAAATTTTTTAAATAGAATTAAAAAAGTGTCTTTTTTGTACGTCGACCTCCTTGTGGTAAGAGCAACGATAAACCTAATATTGTTTTGATGTTAAATTCGTAATCAGCATCCTCAAAAACCCCAAAATGACCATTTTCAAGAAAATACAATTACTTTTTAAAAAATTTTCTGACATATTGGATCCGCCATATTGAATTTTAAAGAAGTGTTATCAGATTCGTAATCAGCGACCCCAAAAACCCCCGAGTAACAATTTTCAATCAAATCTAATAACTTTTAAAAAACATTACCCGAAAATTTTTTTCGGCCTTTTGCATTTTGGAAAAATGGCCAATTTCATATCCGCCATCTTGAATTTAATAAAAAATAATTATAGATTTTTATAGCTGAGAGTTCGAGGACGCGATATTTTGTGCTTTGGAGACCATATTCTTTAGTTTTCCATGTCAAAATAATAATTGAAAATTTTTTTTCAATAAAAAAGTGTGTTTTTTGCAACAAAATTGTTATACATTTTTTTGAGATAATTATAAACAAATTTTAGCTTCATATTCAGAAAGAGCGATAAATTTTACGTCGGAAATGGTATTTCCTAAAATTTTTAACTAATTATTTCATACAAAATAAGAGTCGTGAAATCATGGTACATTTTGCGTCCTGGTGGGCGTTAATGGGTTAAATAAAAAATATAAATGTTAATTAATTAAATAATAAAAATGTTTGTCCTAAGTATTAGAAAAGATGGAATGGGGGTAAGGGGGGGGGGGGGTTATGTAATTCAAGTAAATAATTTACTTGTATTGAGAAAATATTTTTTAAATTGAAATCTATATAAATTTTCTCAAATCAAGAAAATATTTCCTCGGTCAGAGAACATATTTTCTTGATTTGATACATAAATGATTTTAAATTAATATATTCTGCATTTCTTACATGCTACTTAATTTTTTGATCGAATTCCATATTTTCTTGGATCAAGAATATCTGTTCTTCTCACAAAATAAATGTTTTCTTCATCTAAATCTTGAATTGCTTGAACGAACGTTACAAAAAATTGAATAAATAAAATAAAATAATTCAATTGACTATATATTTATGCTTAGAACAAGAAAATATTTTATTTATTTAATACATTTTATATTTCGTACAAGTCGATTAACTTCTTGGCCGAGTTCCATATTTTCTTGGATCAAGAATATATATGTTCTTCTCCCAAATATCCTATGTCAAGAAAATCGTTTTCTTGAATCAATACTATATAATAGTCTTGGCCGTATTCAATCCCACGATTTGGTTCAATCAAGAAAAATTTTCTTGGTTCAATGCTTTATTTTTTTTCAATGTTCCTTAAAGTTACTTCAAGATTTTTAAAAACAATTTTTAAAAAAGTCTTATTTTCCAAAAGTTTTGATTTTTAAAAGTTTAATATAATAATCTTGAGATATTTTTGAAAATATAACTTTTGTGAAATATAACTCTTGTGAAAAATTTTCTTTAAATTTTTAAAATAATTAAATCGTTTCAAAGAATTTTATTAAAATTTTTTGAATTGTTTTTAATATTTTATTACAATTGTTGCAAATAATTAAAGAATTAAAATTCTTTTAATTTTTCTTACATTTTTAAAAATCAACGTTATTAAGCTAAAATGAAAGAATGTTTACGATAATGCCATTGTTGTAATCATGATAGTTGGTTAAGAAGGTCAAGTAAGATAGGAAGGGGAAACGGATCTCTCTATACGTAACTGATTATTCTTGTCAGACACTTTCATATGTGTTTAATTTTCGATGCAGAAAAAAAGAAAATTGTGACTTGAGAATTTGAATATTTCTTCTGTTTACATTGCATTTTTCCCCTCTTTAATTGTGGAAATTAAATTTACATTAATATGGCCAAAGTAAAGAGTAAGTTAATAAACAAATTTAGAGAAATTTTTTATTTACTAATTTAACACACATATATATCTATCAATTCCTTATTGACTTACAATATTATTATATATTTAATAACCAAACAGAATGTCAGTCTGGTGGTCCTGGATATAGATCTCCTAAAGCAGCAATCAAGGAGGGACCAAGAGAAAAATTAATGTACACTGTTTGTATACATACAAATTCAGCTAAAGCTGATGTACTCTGTACAATTGACATTGATCCAGAGAGTTCAACATATTGTCAAGTTTGTATATTAAAATTTCTTATTATATTCATAATAACAGAAACTAATATTTAGAAAACCATTAAAAATAAAATTAATGAATATTTTAAAGTTAATAATATTAATTATTACATATTTTTCTAAATTAATTATTTAGTAAAATCATTAAAGACAAGAAATAAAAACATTAATATAAGTTTGATTATATCATACAAAATATTATAATATAACTTTGTGAAAATATTAATTTTTGTATGCTTTATAATAAGTGGTAAAAACCACAGTACTCCTTATCATGCTAAAAACGGAAATGTTCAGGTTCAAAGTTTTAATATTTGCATTGGATTCCACATAAACCATTCGAAAATGAAATATTATATTTAATTGCTGACAAAGTTTTTTTTACAATTTTTTCAAATAACAGAAAGAAGAAAATATCATTTAAAGTATATGAAAAATTGCAAACCGAATAAGATATTTTAAGCTTTTTAAAAGAGAATCTTGTAATTACTTTACTGCATTTCCAAAGTTTATAATATAACATAAAAAATTAGGGATAATCGAGCGGCAATATTGACGCAATGTTATTATGTATTGTTAGGAATGTTGCACTGCAATGTTGCTACAAGCTTGAAATGTATTACGAGAATCCGGATTTTCTCTGTTAATTAAAAAGATTGAAAATTATTTTGATCTTCAATTTAAGAACTTATTTTGCTCAAAAACAAATAGATTTTAAACAGCATGTTCTTAAAAACATAAGAATTATAATGAACGAACTATGTATTCAAATATTAATGTTTTTCTAGATATTACATAAGCTGAGAATGAAATATGTTGAGGATGAATTACATCATTCTGGATGGAACATTTGCAGCAGTTGTCATAATGTTCCTAAGAAAAGGGACACTTTGATTCTTCCATGTTTCAATTCAGATCGCATTTATTTTGTGGATGTTTCAAATGAAAAGGAACCCAAAATAAAAAAAGTAAGAAGTAGTTTTTTATTTTCTATGTAATATATAACATAAATTATAATTTCTATATAGTCTCCATAATAATCAGGACACTTAACATTAACTCCGAAATTGATTTTTCGAGAATCTTTTCGATGGCTCTTAAATGAAAACACACTTCGTGGGGTGTCAATTATAAACCACGTAGTTAAATTATTTTTATTTACTGTTTATCCATTATAAACAATCATCAATAGTTTTGTTAGATTTTTGGAGATTAATGAAAAGGTGTCCATCTTAAAAATAAATTTTTTTCTGTTGTCAAAAGATACCCAATATATTGTACTTTCATTCAGTATATTATAATTTTCCATATCTTATTGGATTTGGATTCTAGAGCATTAAATCGAAAACCATGTCTATCTTGGAGCCCTCTTCCTTAATTGTACCCTCAACAGTGGCGGATCCAGGGGGGGCACGGGTGTTTGCCCCCCCAAGAGTCAAATATTCCTATGAGATAGAAAGAGATAACATTATATTGATTTTTTTAATGGATGGCCCCACCAAAATACCTTGTCTGGATCCGCCACTGACCCTCAAGCCCTCAAAGTTTTAAGAAAATACACTTCATCTTTTACGTAATCTTGTACAGAGATTATTAACTGGATAAAACATAATCATTACTTTCTCAAAAATATATTTGTTGAGAACGTTAACACAATGTTTGGTATATAAATTACAAATTCTAAATCTATCAAAAATCAAAATAATACGTAAATATGAATAAGTTTAGATGTATGAACATAATGAAAGAATTCGACGATTAGTATAGTTAATTATTATATCATTAAACTAAATATTAAACATTAAAGATTATTGAACCAGAAGAATTGCATAAGCTGGGAGCAGCAACTCCTCACACATCACACTGTTCTCCAACTGGAGAAATAATGATTTCAATAATTGGTACACCAGATGGTGATGCTCAGGGAGATTTTATTTCTATTGATAGTAACAATCTTGAGATCAAAGGAATGTGGACAAAAGGAGATAAGAAGGCTAACTTTGGTTATGACTTTTGGTACCAACCTTATCACGATGTTCTTGTAGCTTCTGAATGGGCAGTTCCAAGTACCATTAAAAGAGGATACAAGATTACTGATGGAAGTGATCCCAGTAAGCATACAAAACAATAATAAATATCATTAATACTATTCTGTAATGTTTTAATATTTTGGAATGTTTAAGTTTTTTAATTATATTAGTTATCAACCCTAACAGTAACATTGCTGTTCTATTGAAGTCCTAGATATATCCGAAAATTAGAATTAATGCTTTTTGCTAGGACGACCGTAGACATTCTGATTATTCCCATGTTTTGCAAAAAAAATTAATAATTGTCATTACAGCACTTTATGGACAAAGTTTAAACATTTATTCATGGAAGGATCAGAAACTTCTTCAGGTATTAGATCTTGGTAAAGATGGAGTTGCTCCCCTTGAAACGAGATTCCTTCATGAACCAACTTCCTGCGAAGGATATGTTGGATGTGCAGTAAGCTCGAGTGTCTTTAGATTTTTTAAAAATGATTCTGGAACTTGGTCTGCAGAAAAAGTTATTCAAATACCACAAAAGAATGTAGAAGGTTGGATAGATACAAAAGTTCCAGGTAAATTTTTACAAGACTTATTATGTATATAAGGGTTGTTCATATTTATTATTTATATTATTGCATATACTTGAGAATTAAGAAAATAACTTTAAAAAAATAATACAGGTATACGTAGAATCACGCTGTCTAAGTTCATTTAAGTTATTTTTCCCTAAGAGAGATTTTAATTCTGGTAGAGATTCCACTACGGTACAACATTGAAACGTTTGTTTCTACGTCTGACAATAGATAGTGTTATAAAATTACAAATATTTCCGCCTATATGCGCGATTATAAAGATTGACTCTGGAATATTCTAGAACTTTAATACCGGAAGTTAAGTTTTGCGAGGGAATGCGAAAGGCATGGTTTTTCAGTTTTTGGCTGGATGTCCAATGAGTAGGTGCTTATGCACGTCGTGAAACTAAATGCGAAGTCTAATCGCGGAGACGTGTAGATATTTTCCGAGTCTGTACAGTTCAGTGTATTTATATTGTAATAAATTACAATCAATATTTTCAATATATATCTTTTCTTGTACTTTTTTTCATTATTGCCCTTGGCAGTTTAGTTAAATAAAAGTGAATACTAATTCTTTAACAATAGTTTTAATTTTTTCAAAGAGAAGTTGATTGAAAATTGTTCTTTAGGCATGATAACGGAAATTCTGATCAGTCTTGACGACAAGTTTCTGTATTTATCAAATTGGCTACATGGAGATGTCAGACAGTATGATATAACAGATAGAAGAAATCCTAAACTCTCAGGACAAGTTTTCCTAGGAGGAGTTATTCTGTCAGATTCAAATGTCCGTGTTCTTGAGGATAAAGAGTTAAAAAAGCAGCCTGATCCTGTTTACATTAAGGGACGTCGTGTATATGGTTCACCGCAAATGTTACAATTGAGCTTAGATGGTCGACGACTCTACGTTACATCTTCACTTTACAAACCATGGGATAAGCAATTTTATCCTGAACATGTCAAGTAAATATTTAAAAATTAACTAATTTATATGTATAACATTGAGAAAATAATTGGGAGTAAGAGAATATAATTGAGTGTATACTAAGCTAAATGCGGTTTCGTATATAAACCGAATTCGAAAGTTATGATAAATTATTTTTTCTTACTGTGAATTGTTTTCCCCTCAATTTTTTGAACTCTCGTTTATTAACTCAAGTTGTCATTATATACATTAAACAAGTGGTCGTTATAAAATGTAAAAACGCTAACTATGAAACGGGAAAAATAAATATTTGTTTCCTTGTTCGAGCTTCCAGATTTTTAAACTCTGATATCAGATTCGTAATTAGTGTCCCTAAAATCTCGGAGTAACAAGTGGCAAGCAAATTCGACCAATTTTTATACATTTATTTTTTACTGATGTTTTGTATCGTTTTTTAGCCAATTGCTAAAAATCCTTAAAGCACATTTGCTTTAAACAAGGGACTAAGGTCCCTTTTAATTTACCAGGTTACAGGGGCGGATCCAGAAAATATTTTCGGGTGGGGCGATTTTATTAATCTTATTTTCCCTCCAAGAATGAAACATCTTACGAAATACCTACATTACTTATTAAAATATCAGGTGGGGTGATCACAAGGATGGTCCAAAAATACATGGGAAAAAAATAAAATCGGAATTTTAATGCTCTCACCCCCTAGGAATGTTCTATATGGAGAAAAAAAATACCCCTATTTTTTTAAATAAAAAAATATTTAGAGGTCGCTCAAAGCGCTGAAAGTTTCCCATGTAAAATGCATGGGGAAAACCCCTTTTTCGTAGAATTGGTATAGAATCCTTGAAAATCAATATTTTTCATTCAGCAAACTCTGTTTCTCTTCAGAAGACTTCAAAGAATAGTGCTAAATTGTTTATTTAATAATTTTTCAAATTAACTATTTTTTATAATGCCCCAAAAAACCCCATAAATTTCAAAATTACAAAAAAACCATTAAAAAATATTTTTTACTATTTTTATTAAAGTTTTTTCCTAGATTTTGAATAAATAACACAAATATTGATTTTTAAACATTATCCCATGTAATTGCTAATTTTTTTAAACAAATTATTATTGTTTATTTACAACTTTTTATCTAATTGAGCTAAAAAGTTTCGATTTTTTCTCAATTTTGCAACTTTCCAGGCCGAATGTAACCAGACACTATCAACTAACTAAGAATATTAATTTTACAAATTGTTTAAACAAATTACTATTGTTTAATTTTATCTTTTTATCAAATTGAGCTGCAGAGTCGCAATTTTTTCCTCAATTTTGTATTTTTCCAAGCCAAATGTAACTAAAGTTACTAACAACAATCTAAGAATTACAATTTTACCAATTGTTTAAACAAATTGTTATTTTAAATTTGAAGCTATCGCAGTAGTAATTTCAATGACGTAAATAAAAATTTTTGTACTTATCATTTTTATAACAATAAATTTATTGTTTACAATTTTTACTCGAAAATTAAGTCTTACATTAATTATTACCTTACAAAAAAAATAAAATGTACAATTAAAAAAAAGTTGCAACTCTGTAGCTCATTTTGATAAAAAGATAAAATTAATCAATAGTAATTTGTTTAAACAATTGGTAAAATTAATATTCTTAGTTAGTTGATAGTGACTGGTTTCATTCGGCCTGAAAAGTTAAAAATTGAGAAAAAATAGTAACTCTTTAGCTCAATTTGATAAAAAGTTGTAAATAAACAATAATAATTTTTTTAAACAAATTAGCAATTACATGGAATAATGTTTAAAAATCAATATTTGTGTTATTTATTTATAATCTAGGAAAAAACTTTGATAAAAATAATAAAAAATACTTTTTAACGATTTTTTTGTAATTTTGAAATTTATGGGTTTTTTTTGGGGGTACTACAAAAAAAAGTTAATTTAAAAAATGATTAAATAAATAATTTAGCACTATTCTTTGAAGTCTTCTGAAGAAAAACAGAGTTTGCTGAATGAAAAATATTGATTTTCAAGGATTCTATACCAATTCTACGAAAAAGTGTTTTTTTCCCATGCATTTTACATGGGAAACTTTGAGCGCTTTGAGCGACCTCTAAATATTTTTTTATTTCCAAAAAAATAGGGGTATTTTTTTTCTCCATATAGAACAATCCTAGGGGGTAAGAGCATTAAAATTCCGATTTTACTTTTTTTGGACCACCCTAGTGATCACCCTAACTGCTCCCAACGTAGATCCGCCACTGACATCTAGCACCAAAAATTAAAAATACTTAAAATTGAACATTTTCCTTTTATTTTAAGGCAAGTTGCTTTAATAGTTTTGGAGTTGTAATAATGTAATATACTAAACTTTAAATTATTTTTTTTTTAAAAAAAACTTTAAATAAGAAAATGATTATTTGAGAACTTTAAACACTTCAATAACTATTTAAAATTTTATCTTGTTTATGACGAAAAATAACTAAATTATGCATAAATAAATTACAAATTATAATTATCAATCCTCGATTGATATTTATATTAATTATCGTAGTAAAAATTTTTAAAAAGGCGAAATAATAAATTTTCAATAAGTATAAATTATTATATTTACTCAGTATTTTTTTGTTCAAATAATTTTAAAATATAAAATATTAATTATCATTGAATTTTAATATGAAAATCACTCCACACAGTTTTCATACAGAAAATACATTACCATAATACATTACATAATACGTTACATAATACATTACCATAATAATTTTACTTTGTTGATTCTTCAACGAATTTTACTTCTCATCCATTAACAATTCGGGAGACTCTCGATCACCTTTTTGAACGTAATGTCTGGTCAGAAGAGAAAGATTTTCCTTAATTTAGTCGAATGCACGATCAAATAATTTTTTGGGCCTCAATACCCAGAGGATATTCTTATGTTGCTCCGTTCAACGATTGATACTCCTCTTATTTTAAGTTTTTTTTTAAACAAAAAAAATAATTTAGAGTTTAGTATATTAAATTGTTACAGGGTCTTCAAAAATACTTTACTCGTTTTTTAAGGTAAAAAACTACCCTGATCACTAGCACCAAAAATTCTTGAAATTCAACATTTTTATTTTAAGGCTGACAAGTTAAATATATATAATTTAAACATTTTATCTTCGATTTTAGTTATAGTCATGACTATTATTAAATAAAAAGCAATTAATAATAAAGAACTTTAAATTTATTTTATTTTTAGGCATGGTTCAACGATGTTGAAAATAGATGTGGACATAGATAATGGAGGCATGACACTTGATAAAAACTTTTTGGTCGATTTTGGAGCAGATAAAGACGACATTTTACTGGCTCATGAATCTAGGTATTCCTTTTATTTAAAAATATCTTCAACTTTAATAAATTATTTCCTCATACAAAACCTTGTTTAGTGACTATTTTTAATTGTTTATTTTATTTATTTGATACTTTCTGACCAAACCAAGGATCTCAATTTTGAAAATTTTCCCCGATTAACAAATTTCAAGCGAATCTAATCATTTTAAAAAAAGTTTTATTTACGGACAGTGTTAGTCAATTTTGATGCATGAGAAGTGTTCAGGAGTCAATTTTGACAGCTAATTTAGTTTGTTGTTGGCAATATCGCTACTTCTTCGTAAAGTATAGGTTCGGACTTTAATTTGACTCCTATGGCAAGTCTCTAGTACACCGGATCAACGCGGTAAAAATTTTTAAAGACTGCCAAAAACGTGACTTATGGGACTTTTACTCTCACTTTTCTCAAAATCCTGACATGATGGTAGGTTTTTGTTGACAGATTTTGATTTAGCGCACCAAAAAGTACGGGAAACAACTTCTCTCCTATAATATTTCATATTGTAAAATATAAGAAATAATTGGTTTTTATTAATTTACAGGTATCCTGGTGGAGATTGTACATCTGATATTTGGCTTGTGGAATCATAGAAAGTAATCATCATTTATCATAAAATAAAACTAACTGCATTATTTTGTTTTCTTTTTTATAATTTCACTTTTCACTGCGTTTCATTTCAAATCTTAAGAACAATCAAATAAAAAACAGAATTTTGGAAACTATAAATTTTGTATCTAAATGTTAAGTATAAGCATCACAGTGGAGCAAATAGTACTTTTCAGGGACAAAAATCTAGCGCTCTTACAATTTTCAACGGATTTTGCTAGTTTATTTTTAATGTAATCTTGAGTTTTCGGAGAATAAAATAACTTATTTGATAGATATTTAGTGAAATTTTTTTAGAAGGTTGGATTCGAATGTAAGATGTAAAAGGATCTGATGTAGTCAATAATTTATTGAAACATCTTCGTTAGTTGCAGATCTGGAACATTTTCTAGAATGATGTAATCTATAGTTTTTATAATCTTTATTTCTGGCTTCTTGTACTTCTTCAGATAGTTGTCCAAGAGGCAAAATAGCATTGTATTTGATTATGCTTTCTCCATAAATTAGAACTTTGTGAACTGAAGAGGGCATGTAGTACCAATTATAATTACTTACAAAAATTTGAGCTGTATCGCGTGTATATTCACCAAACTTTCTTGCATCAATTCTTCTCCCACAAGACATAGTTTGAAGTAGAATATAAAACCGTTTAATTAAGTCTTCATTTACACCGGTTATTTCGGAGGCACATGTAAAGTTGGAATAGAATCTTCTTCCAATATTTCCGTCTTTGCTATTACCACTACCTTGACGAGGTTTGTCTATTATTAAACCAAAATCTTCCCGGAAATGAGTTTATATATTTTTTCTCAACTTCCTTTTCTTTTTTATTTTTTGCGGTAGTCACTAACCATTTTTGAAACGAGGAGTTATACGATATATGAAAAATCAACTCCATAAATCTGATCCATGCGTGTAAAGCAGAGAGTCCAAATCTGAATGTTTCCTCTCTTTCTGACATATTAATTACATACGTTCAAGATTATTCATTTCGAATGGCTCTAGCTAAACACACATTGCAGGTGGCACAAGACACCTGCAAGTGTGTTTGTTAAAACTTTAACTACTTTACCATCTTTTATAGTAAAGTATAAATTGTGCTTTACTAAAAGATTATTTTCATTTATAATTATCGATGAAGGTGCAGAGCAGCAATTTGAAATTCAATGTCACTTACAGTGGTTCTTGTTTTCTCAGGAATTTCTTTTGCAAACTCTATGAAAATGGGTCGACAAAAAATGTTGATGAAGGTGATCAATTTTGCCAAATAATATTGCTATTCTCCTAATTGACCAGTTTAAGAGGCACAAGCAAAGAGATCAATAAATTAGAATCGGAAATGAGTTCACTTTCGCCTGATAGTATGTGCTTATATTCGCTTTGTCCTGAACAACCATTAAAGCCCCATTTGCTATATAAAACCAAATTCTGTTCACTCTTTGAAATTAATGAAATTAATTTTTAATATCCTACTAACAATGTGGTTTGAAAAGAGATTGCAACTCTATCTGTCAGTTACTTCTGTGTTTTCAGGGTAACATTCGTCTTTAGCGTTTACCATTTGCGCTTATATGTCGGAAACAGACTTATACTTCTTTCATGATATAATAACAAAGATACTCATATTTTTATTTTGATAAATTTAAATGAAGCAATATTTGTTTAAGCTTCATCGTTGGAATAAGAATCTATACTAATATTTTCTTCTTTTAAATGCATATAAACATCATTTAAGGTTTCAGATAATATGAAGCGTAATTTTTCAATTACAGCAGCTTTTGTTTTATTTTGTCAATGGATCACAAACCTTCTACGTAAGAGTAATGAATTTGATCCATTCCAGATTCTGTAAATAATTTTATAGCATTTATACGATTGCTTTTATTTGAAGAAATTTCATATTCCTTGCATAGTCTTCCCCGTGTTATTTCCGAAGATGTTACAGGCTCTTCTGCATCTAATTGGATAGAGATATCTCTTTTCAGACACATTTCATTATTTATTTGTTTATACACCTGTCTTCAGCCTTACATACTTGGCTATACAAGTGTCTCTTTACAAATTTCGCTATTACAATATTTCTATAATTATTTCCTTATACTAAATTTTGCGCCTACAGAGAGACTTGAAAATTAGGAGTACTCGCATTTGCCTGGACCACCCGTCTAATGGGTTTTCTCGCCAGTGGAGAGGAAAACTGTAGAAAACCTCTCCTGAGTACAACCGGTTTATTGGCAGTCGAGTTCTAATGGTGTGTATCGGACATTAATCGACGGTGCACATCATTATACCTCGACGTCAAACCTCCCACTCAGATTGTCTCACGTGCCGGAAAATTACCAAGCCAAATATGCGCGAACCAAGGGTACTTACCCTTGGTCCTTAAACGACCGCCAAGCGAGGCATCTATCCGACTGAGCTAATCTGTCAGTTACATTTCATTATTACTCAAAAATATATCTTTTCTGCTTACAGCTTTATTCCATCGTTGCTTTAATATATGCATTAAGTTTTTATTTATCCACAATACAACATAAGTAAAATGTGCTTCATTAAGTGTTTAAAAGTTGTCTTTAATGTGAATATTTACGGAACTCATTTTACTTCTTTTCAAATATCAATTAAAAAAACTTTTATTAAACTAATCTTCAAGGGTTTTTGGAATTAAATGTTCTTTAACTGTTCGGAAGCTTTTATACTGCATTAATAGATAACATTCAGCATACTTGTTGGTTTGTGGTAAATTATTTTCAATATATAAAGCCATTCAAAACAAGCTAATGATTCAAACGTAATAATAAAACAAGTCTTAAAGAAAACGTGCGGTTTGTAGTATAATATTTATCATTCTTTAAAAACAATAAAATAATTATAATGCAATCATTAAAAAAAAATTTTTTAATTTGGTTTACAATAAAAAAAGGCTTATTCGATTTTACAAAACCAATAGCCAATTCGTTATCAGTAACCATAAAAAACACCGAGTAACAAGTTTTATGTGAGTTCAATCATTTTTTAAAAACTTGGATGCCATATTGGATCTGCCATTTTGATTTCTGAAAAACCAACAACGGATTCATAATCAGCAACCACGAAAACCCCCCGAGTAACAAGTTTCATGAGAGTTCAATCGTTTTTTAAAAATGGCGTCCGACATATTGGATCAGCCATTTAACTACATCTCTGAATGTTAATTTTAAGTGAAATTTACATGTAGGATACTGAATGTCTATCAAATAAGTTAGAAAATAAAGGTCTACATTGTTGTTGAATAAATAAATAATTACTTCAAATAAATTATTAAAAGACGCATTGTATTATCCGAGCGCTAGATTTTTGTACACTCGTGCTCATTAATTTCACGAACTTTGCCTACTATCTATATTATTGTCTAAAAAAACACCCCCACAGCACCGAAACTTTCCTAAAAATTTATTAAATATTTACTTGCAATATTCTTCATATTTAACTGAAAAGTTTAGTGAAAATTGTGTAAAGATTTAAATGTCCCGATTAAATAAATGTTTAGCGCGAAGCTTTCCTGAACATTTCCTGAACATGAAATTAAATCTTCGCATAATTATAATTATAATTATGCGAAGATTTTATTGAAATGTTCAGGAAAGCTTCGCGCTAAACATTTATTTAATCGGGACATTTAAATCTGTACACAACTTTCAATAAACATTGCAATTAAATATTCCGAATATTGCAATTAAATATTCCGAATATTGCAAGTAAATATTTAATAAATTTTTAGGAAAGTTTCGGTGCTGTGGGGGCAGCCAATGGAAAAGTAAAATTCCGTTAAAATTATTGTCACGAACTATAAAAAATATAGAAAGTGGGCAAAACGCGTCAAATTAGTGCCTTCCCTTAGAGAAGGCATTAATGAGCACGAGTGTACCTGAAAAGTGGGTACCTCTAGCTGTCATATGTAAAACTTGTCTTTGCCGCAAATTTCAAATTGCATGAATTCGTTTATATTATAAAAAATGGAATTAAAACAAGAAATTGTCGTCGACTAATTTGTTAAGAATTTGATAGTATGTATTTATATAAAAAAATAAAAATTTTAAACATATTTCTATTGTAATGTCATCCTATGTCATCCTAAACAAGTTTAGGATGACATAGATATGGAACAAATCTCTAACAGTTATGGAACAGTTATTTGGTGTTCACTGGGATTGTTTTCGATGCCACACGAATGAGAGTTTAATAAAATCGGTTTAGTAGTTTTCGAGAAAAATGAGTTTTTTGATTTTGCGAGACGCATTCCTATTCTCTAAAGTAAATTTGTTTGAACTTCAATTAAACAGAATTTTAGGTGGTAGAAATGTTCCTTATCCGTATTTTTATTTATCATAGTTATTAAGAGTCTTACAGCGTAGATAATAAAAATATATAATAAAGCAATTAGAATTTAGATAAATTTGCAAACATATTAATTTGTCAATAGTAGAACTTTTGTTTAACAGAATTTTATATTTCAGAATTCTATTTTATTCGAAACTTCGATTTTGCAAATTTTTATTTACAAGAATTTTCATTTAAAAGAATTTTTAAAATACAAAATTTACCCGTAATCGAATTTTCATTATACAGAATTTACATTAGGACAAATTTTAATTTCACGAAATTTTTTATTTACTACAATATTTATTAAACAGAAGTCATTTAAACAATTTTTTAATTGACAGAAGAATCATTAGAATGAATTTTTTCTTAGTCGACTTTTTATTTCTCAAAATATATTTAAAAATATAAAAAAATAAAAAAAAAAAAAATATAAAAAAAAAAAAATATATAAAAAATATAAAAAAAAATATATTTTGAGAAATAAAAAGTCGACTAAGAAAAAATTCATTCTAATGATTCTTCTGTCAATTAAAAAATTGTTTAAATGACTTCTGTTTAATAAATATTGTAGTAAATAAAAAATTTCGTGAAATTAAAATTTGTCCTAATGTAAATTCTGTATAATGAAAATTCGATTACGGATAAATTTTGTATTTTGAAAATTCTTTTAAATGAAAATTCTTGTAAATAAAAATTTGCAAAATCGAAGTTTTAAAATAAAATAGAATTCTGAAATATAAAATTTTTTTAAACAAAAGTTCTACTATTGACAAATTAATATTGTTGCAAATTTGTTTAAATTCTAATTCCTGTATTATATATTTTTATTATCTACGCTGTAAGACTCTTAATAACTATGATAAATAAAAAAACGGATAAGGGACATTTCTACCACCTAAAATTCTGTTTAATTGAAGTTCGAACAAATTTACTTTAGAGAATAGGAATGCGTCTCGATTTTGCTTGCCCCCCCATAACTCCCTCAAAAATGCAAATTTTGAGTTCATTCTTACATAAACCACTTATGTTGGTGGTAATTTGTGGAATTAAGGCTATGTCCAAGTTGTGAAATGTAAACAAACCATAAGGTTACTAAACCAGCACTAAAATCGACATTTTGCGACAGCCAATTCTCCCACAAAAAATATCATTTTTACACTTTCTTTACGAAAATGGAAAATTAGAGTATCAAAGTTTCGAAAAAAATCATTTTTGACTATGAGCAATAAAAAGCAATTAGTGAAATAACTAATTAAAATGACCTGTAAAACAGCATTTTTGACGCGTCGCGAAAAATAAACTGTTTGAGTATATCAACCGCACGGATGATGAAGAAGTTAAATGTCAGCGATTGGACCTTCGACATGTGGAAGGGTAAATTTTTCTCTTTCCTCCTTGAAATTACAAGAGAAAGGGTAAAAACTTCTTCATCGTCCGTGCGGTTGATATAGTCAAACAGTTTAATTTTTCGCGACGTGAACTCTGTTGCTCGCTGCGCGTGCGCAGACCATACCAAGGTCGCAATGACATCACCATGCAAAAAGGCACATTTTGTTTTTGACTGAAACTCAGTGGTTTTCTCATTTTTTCAGTTATTTAAAGTTTAGTAACCAAATTCAATACTTTAGTTCACCATTTCCATAAAGAAAATGTGAATTTATATTTATTTACGCAAATGGGAACGGCGAAAAAATGCTTCACTATTCGGTCTATAATGAAGCATTTTTTCGCTGTTCGCATTTGCGTAAATCAATATAAATTCACATTTTCTTTATGGAAATGGCGAACTAAAGTATCGAATTTGGTTACTACACTTTGCATAGCTGAAAAAATGAGAAAACCACTAAGTATCATTGAAAAGAAAATGTGCACTTCTACATGGTGCTGTCAATGCATTCTTAGTACGGTCTGCGCAGGCGCAGAGAGCAACAGGGTCTCAGGTTGCGAAAAATTAAAGTGTTTGACTATATCAACCGCACGGACGGTGAAGAAGTTTTTACCCTTTCTCTTGTAATTTCAAGGAGGAAAGGGAAAAATTTCCCTTCTCACATGTTGAAGGTCCAATCGCTGACATAAGACTTCTTCATCATCCGTGCGGTTGATATACTCAAACAGTTTATTTTTCGCGACGCGTCAAAAATGCTGTTTTACAGGTCATTTTAATTAGTTATTTTACTAATTGCTTTTTATTGCTCATAGTCAAAAATGATTTTTTTGGAAACTTTGATACTCTAATTTTCCATTTTCGTAAAGAAAGTGTAAAAATGTTATTTTTTGTGGGAGAATTGGCTGTCGCAAAATTGCGATTTTAGTGCTGGTATAGTAACCTTTTGGTTTGTTTACATTTCACAACTTGGACATAGCCTTAATTTGAACCCATATATAACACGTGTAATTTGTTTCAATAAATAGAAAAAACTCATTATATATATATATATATATATATATATATATATATATATATATTAGAAATTAAGCCGGGGTTTTACCATTCTCCCTATATGTATATTACTGCACATTCGGCAGAAAGGAGCATAGACCATTTGGGGGAACTACTAAAAGTTATGGGTAAATACGGAAGCGCCTACGCGCCACGAGGCAAAGAGAGGAAACCTGTTTCTGCTAATGTCGTTTTAGCTTGTGAAACATAGGAACACGTTCGATGGTTCGATGATGTTATTGTTACTAAATAAAAAATTTAAAATAAGAAATAAAAATGAACCAAATTAATTGAAATTGACAATTTTAATGTAATAAAATATTTTTTAGGTATTATTTATAACAGATATTAATTACGAGGTAAATTAGGTGCTTTAAAAAAATCATACATTTT